GGACGACATATATAACGCCATTCGTGAGTAGTAATGATCCAAAAGCATCCAGAATAAAACATGCAGTATGGCAATCTATTCCAGGGTGCTTGATGCTGTTGAGGTTTTTGGGACTCGCTCTGATCAGAACAACTGAATGAATCCAGATAATTGTGTGTCATTGAATGAGCCATCTAAAATGAACTTATGATTGCAGAAAACTTATAGCTGGAACTCACTGTATTTTTTGGAGAAGTGTCATCCTTGTTGTTTGGCAATGGAACTCGAAAATATGAAATTAGGCAGGCAGTGGTCGGAAGAAAAGATATTACAGGATAGTGCGTAGTTTAAAACAGGATGAGGTATTAAGCGAAGGAACACAGAATTAGATCCAGATAACTATTTAGTCCTTGGTTGCATTGTTAGTCAATGTATATTTACGCTATTTACAGGTCATATTTGCTAGAGCTTGATGTTTAAACAAGTCTATGTCGCTGAAGCAGGTAAATGCTATTAAAGCTTGTTAACGAACCATCAAAGCTAATTAGTTGATATAGATGATCAACTTTTATTATCGATTGAGCCAGTAAGTTATGTGAACTAATAGATATAACATTACAATAATATATGTGACCATTAATCAAAGGACTATTAGAATACTGGGTTTACAAAAATAAAAACCGATTGAGAAGGTTAAGGTGGAAATAAGGATTAACAATAATAGGTTGCGTTTCTCTAGTTGGGCTCACCAATGTAGAATTATGGTCTACTATGATATTAGTGCTGCTCTAATAATAGACCTAATCCTAAGTTTTTAGATTTGTCATGATATAACTGCCTAATCTATAAGATCTTACGTGGAAGTCACACCATTGACTACGCCAACTCACTGTATCGTGTCAATTACCAATACGTGATGTAGAACAAGGTTAGGCTAGAAAAAGAACAATATATTTAATATGAATAGAAGATATAAAGTAACATTCAGCAGAGACCACGCCTGCATGGACGAGCCATGCCACTCGATCAACTCCAGTCCATTCAATTCATTGTTCGCGCCTTCTCCATCGCTAGGTATTTCTCCGCGTTAAATATTGAATATCTATTTTCTGAGTAGTCTCGTATTCACAGCTTTGTGGATTGTGTGGCTATTGTCCAATGCCACTACAATGGTATCTCAAACATCCTTTTTAAAAAAATGTGCTGACGTCCTATGTTATACATTCACGACTATCTTTAACAGATCCTTCTCATCTAATCTCATACCGAAAATGCGGAGAAAGATGAAGACAATCCCTGTACCCAAGAAAGTATCTGGCGATAATAATGTAAAGTTTAGACCTATTGCAATAACTTCACCCTTCCTCAAAACAATGGAAAAATTAATAATACTTCCATTTTAGCCTGCGATAAAAGAGCACATTGATCCGTATCACTTTGCTTACAGATGCAGAAGAAGCACCTTAGATGCTGTTGCTGATCTGCATCACAATATAGTGTTCATATCAGAAAAGGGGAAGAAGTATATTCGATGCGCTTTTCTGGACTATTTATTAATTATTTACTAATAAATAACAAGTTAACCAGCGTCAACACTGACGCCTGGATAACCAACTGGCTATGTTCCTACCTCTCTGGAAGGAAACAGTATACTGTATTCCGAGGAATGTGTTCGGAGTCTCTGCTGTCTCATGAAGGTGTACCAAAAGGAGCTGTTCTTTCACCTCTCCTTTTCTCTTTTTTTCTGCATGATCTCCTATCTTCCACAGAACACACTTTTGTGAAATATGCGGATGATCTTGTAGTGACTCACTCTTGTCACGGGAACACCATTGGTTTATTGAAAACAATTATTATTATAACCAATTGTACCAGTGACTGTTTCAATATGCTCTTGTTTAACTGTGCTAAAAGCATCCATTATTCTTACACTGTGATTGTGAACTCGCGCGGATTCGGTTACGTTCTGCAACCAAGCTTCTATCCTGGCACGATCTCGGTATCCTTTCGATACCACGAGATCGCCAGCAAATATATCTCGACTTGGTCCATTAAATGCCTTCTGATATTTGGCTTCCCCGGGGATTTCATGGATATCCTGGCACACGCCCCTTGGTAGCGGTGTTCATAGTCAATTTCGATTCGACACCACGCTATAATCTCACTGTATGTATGCCTATCACATCCCATAGAAATGAATGAGTTTCTGTGTCGTATTGATTGTTGGTCTCTTGGTAATGGTCTCATACTTAATCCATCTAAATGTCAAGCTCTTAACTTTAGCATGAGACATGAACGGAATCTAAACACCATTTTGAGATCCCATAATGCTTATACCATTGGAGACTCTTTGATAAACACAGTGTCGAAGGTCAGTTATCTTGGTGTTACCTTTTCCTTTGATCTCTCTTGGTCTTCCAACGTTTTATTGTTATCGAAGAAAGTTTTCCGCCTGACTTACTACATTAAGACATTGCATGCTTTTGGGATTACTCGTCAGTTACTCTTACAATTTGTCAATTATTGCATATTACTTATTATTCTTTGTTGTTCTCCATTACCCTTTCCCGGGCTTTTGAGAAAAGACTTTGCTGCATTGCGGAGAGTACTGGAAGCAGTTAGCAAGATGCGTGGTGAATCTTTCGAAGTTATAGTTAATATGATTGTGGATAGACATCTATAGTCATGCAAACTCCTGGCAGGTGCTATTTTATCAGATACTTGTAGAATTATGGTCTATTGTGATATTAGTACTGCTCTAATAATAGACCTAATCCCAAAATTGTAGATTTGTCATGATATAACTGCATAATTATAAGATCTTACGTGGAAGTCACATCATCGTCTACGCCACCTCACTGTATCGTATCAATTACCAATACATGATGTAGAAAAAGGTTAGACTAGAGAAGGAACAATATATTTAATTTGAATAGAAGATATAAGGTGAGATTTAGAGGGACCACGCATGCATGGACGAGCCATGCCACTCGATCAACTCCAGTCCATTCAATTCATTGTTCGCGCCTTCTCCATCGCTAGGTATTTCTCCGTGTTAAATATTGAATATCTATTATCCGAGTGGTCCCGTATTCAGCTTTCAGGATTGTGTGGTTATGGTCCAATGCCACTACGTACTAACCATCCTACTCACTCTTATCTTTCTCCTTGTATATCTTCTGTTAAAACGAGACGTAATTACATAAAAATCCATGCACGCAAGCAAAAGTTTAAAAGTTCTATGATACCTTACCTAGCAAATATACTCTGTAACGAACAGGTTCATAGAGTTAACCTAGTCAATAACCTGCATTTTTAACATGTCTCTAATTCGAAAACTTGTACAGTTTTTCGGTTTTTTAAGAACCTCTACTCCTTAAGAGTTGTCAAAAGCTGGAATTCGCTGCCAGGCGAGCTAGTCCAAGCGACTTCTCAGGAGTCCTTCAAGAGGCAACTTGACCTATTCTTAAGAACCAAGGACAGCATCACACTATGATTTACCAATTTCTTTTCCTCTTTTATTGTTAACATACCTAGGTTCCTGCCTGGAGGATTTCGTGATCCCCTGCTACTAGACACGGAAGCCTGTTAAGCGAAAGCTTCTTCTATTCCGTCCACAACCATTTGAACCATTTGAACCATTTGCATTCGTTACTGTTTTTTGCGTAAGTAACTTGTAGAAATACCTTGTTCTGAGAATTCTATATTGAACCAAAATATAATACTGAATAAAGCCGTTAATAATAATGATCATAATAATCAATTGTTGTTCATTCTTATAGTGAAGTCACTTCTAATGAATCTCCTAGTTAATGTGAGAAATATGTTTTGAATGACGTCACATTACTTATAACTTAGGCGTGTGAAAACATTATTTCTTGCAGGAGAATAGTGTGAGAAAATCTATGGTTCAAATTCTAGTACATAATCGACATACTGATCATATGCAATTTCAGGATTCCGGTGAGTCCGTTCCGATTTCAACTGTTAATTCTAATACTAATGGGCATATTCCAGACCATACAGAGTCTATATCCAATACACAGTCTGGCAGACATACGATGAACCTAAGGAGATGACGTTCAATTAATTACGAGAACTTAGATTCCAATTTTAGCTGTGGCCGTTGCACTGTTCTTATAGACTAATGATTCATTTGTATTTAATGACTGCCTGATTTCGAATTACGAATACAATACGTTCGTTTGTGCTCCTCTAGTTCTGTGTGAGCTGAATTGCGTTATTTCAGGGATTCCTAGTTCGTATAGTAATCCAAATACTTCTAATCGTCGCATTGGTTCAGCAGTATGTAGTGACCTACTTTTGTCAGGAGAACGTAATTGGTGTTGTAGAAACAATATTGTTATAAACAATTGTACCGGGATTGCTTTGCCGTACCTGTTTGTTTAACTGTACCAAAAACACATACATTCTCCCGTTGATCGTGACCTTGCCTGAATTCGGTTACGCTCAGTAACCACACCTGTATTCTTTCGATACCAGCAGATCGTCAGCAAATACATCTCGACTACAGCCATCAACTGCCTTCCGATATTCGACGTACGGGGGATCTTATCGGTTAACTGGCACGTGGTCTTCCGGTTGTGGTGACCGTATTCAACCGGACTCGACGCCATACTACAAGTACTTGCTTTCTTCATAGCTGTTATCTTTCTGAAGTCTAGATATTTGCATCTACACTATATGCGAATTGGCAAATAGACATTCAAATCAATAAATTGGAAATTAGTCCAGACATTAAATTTCATGATGTTCGAAACCGTACATCATTACCTAACCCACTGGGGCATGTGCAGTAGAATATCTAGATAACCTTCTCTGGACCTTACAAATACTCAAAACTGTTCCGTGACACCTAAGATCGAGAGTAAAGGATTTATTATGTTCTTATTGTCGTTTCATAATAGTGTTGACTGCTGTGCATGACGGTTTGACACCTAGTCAACCCAACACGAGCAACTAACTTGAACATCAGCGCCATCAAAGAATTTCATAGCAAACAACAAAAGCTAGGTAAGCTCTCAATGAAAGTTATCTCTGTTTGGAATGTTCTTCTAGCCGAAGTGACCACAACGCACTCAGAGGATGGCTTCAGGAGGAGACTTTAGAACCTCATATTCTCGCTCTTTGATTAAATGAGCCTTCTGCTATCACCTAAACTATTTACTGTTATCATTATCACATCTTATAAACATATTCCTTCATCGCTTAATGTTAACTCTGCTTCTATTTTACTTTTGTAGGGCCAGTGGAATGTCATTAAGCCCTAGCCAAGTCATCCGGCTGTTGGGTAACTGAATATCGAACAGACCATCAATCCCTGCCAAGGTCAAGGGCAACCAATGCGCATCAGTTAATCATATGCCATGGACTGGCCCATGCAGCGGTAGTCCTACCACCTTCTGTGTACTCATTCTTACTCATACTTCCGTGGTAACTTTCTTTGTATTATACGGTCTTCAAAGCGGCTATCGTACTTTAATAGGTCGAAGAGGCAACCCACGTTAGATGCTGACTGCGAGGTGTGATTTCGAAGTCACCTGGTTCGTCACACCATTCCCGTCTAAGTTCAGTAACCCCTCTGATCATTCGACGTAGATCATCAACATTGATGACCTACACTGTAATACTCTAGTTTTCGCACACTATCTTCATTACCAATTAACTAACACGTTTACTGCCTATTTCTTGAAGACCTGGTTAGTTCCTAGCATCCGAATTTCCGAGTCATTATTTTTCACATTACAACCAAACAACCCCCTGCCTGATAACGTGAAAGGTGCTGTTATCTAGAAACCCTACTGTTCCGAGACAAACGCATTCACTCAAACTACAAGATCTGTAAACCTACAAATAACTAATAAACTGACTAGGATTAGTGCAATCGAGTAACCAGACTACCGCCTATTAAAAGTTATTAAAAACTTGGAAGCGTATATAATCAACAAGAAGTGAGTTCAAAGACACCAGTCGGTATGCACAACTTCGTCTCCAAGATATTGGATACTGGAAGGCAGTTCGGGGTTCTTTCAAATCTCAAGGACGGCATGCAAACTTTTTGATAAATTTAGGTCATCTTTTTATCAACTGCTTTTCATATGGACACAGTATGTTACAGGTCTCGTTTTTCCATAGGTTATTCATAGAAAAAACTTCCCGAGAGGTTCTTCAGGAAGAAGGCAGAGGCCTTCAACCGAAAGGTTAAATATGCTAAACAAAGTGTCACTCAGGTAGCGGCACTACACAATGTATTGCCTGGGTACGTTGCGTTTCTCTTCTTTATGGCACTTAGCTATCTTGAGAAGGAAGATGAAAATGAGATAATCACTCAAGATGCTATGTTGAAAGAAGTTGATATTGGTTCCGCAACTAAGGTAAAATACTATAAGCTTTAGGCGAATATGAAAACTAGCGTTTTGATGTTAAACTACAGTATGGACCGTATGCGATTGATTATTCACGAAACGGCAGGTAAATTGGCTGCCAAACGCTTGTAAAAAAGACAGATTTTTAGCCCTGTGTGGTAAATCAGGTCACATAGCGGCATTCGACTGGATGGTGAAGAAGCTTCTTTTTGAGATCACTGTCTCTAACGAATGCAAGGATGTTAAGTAAAAAATTTAGTTGATAATCTCTTAGGTTTCTTCACCAAGAAACGTTCGTTGCCGTTGCAGAGAAAAGATATGTTTCCATATATGACAATCAAGGCTTAGAAGTACATTGCTTGAAAAAACTGAGTGGGATATTACGAATGGAATTTCTCCCGTATCATTTCCTTCTGGTGTCTTCCGTAGGTTTTTGCACTGGAGCTTTTATTTCAGGCTGACAATGGATTTCTTTATTACCTAGACTGTTCTATTGGTACGATTGTCACTTCAATACCTACATATATGGGGCGCCTTGGTGTTATGTGTCAAAACCCTTCTAACGGAGTTATTTGCACAGGACACAACGATGGTGTTGTATCTATGTGGGTACCTTCAGAGAAGTCATACGTTATCAAAATGTTCGCCCACCCAACTGCCATTACTTCGATTGCTTGCGACCAAACTGGAAGGTTAGCTTTTATGATAAATTCACAACTTTTGATAGATTCCGAATCCATACCCAATTGAATCTTTCCTCATATATATGACTGGACATTAATTCTCAGTTCATTCAAAGTTGATTACGTTTCGTTCGCTTGATAATTATAATTGCTGGTATGAGAGCAGTTTGTAATCTTGGTATATACTGTCTTGAATCGTGATAGTAGGTATAAAGTGATGCGTTATGTGAGTCAAAGTAAGCTATAGTAATTAGGAGTATTCGACCTAATGTACTAACTAGGAGTTTCCGAAATAGTGCAATTTACAACAGCCTGTTTTTTCAATTCAAGGATAAATCCTCTAATTTTTTGGTTGTTCTGTCGAATCATGTTATTAAATTTTGCTTTCACAACACTCGGAATTTGTACAATTTGCATGATTTAGTGGTAGCCCTTTGAGAGTTGCGTAGGGAAGTGAAATAAGCTTGTCTGAGAATGCCAAAAGTTTTAGTAAGCTGCAAACATCCTTTCCGATGAATGTAGGGAAATGAGCTGCAACTTCATCATTCTTAACACCGTTTCTGATCATTGTCCAGATTTCAAACCTCTCCATGTAATTTTCAAAAGTCCCGGAATTTGAGTGTCGAACTGTTCCTTCAAATGCCCTGGTACGGCCGAGAGTAGGAAGAAGCAGCTCTCACTCTCGAAATGCTCTCACATAGTCACTTGCATACAACTACTGCCAGGGACGTCCAACTAACTGCCTTCTCGCAGCATTACTGTTGCTTACGAAATCGAGAGGATGAAAAGCGAATGTCCGATCTCTAGTTCTACTACAGAAAGTGCATTCGTCAGATATTGTGTTACTAGCCGGATACTTGAATGCTCAGGTCGGGCATCTAGGCACCGAAGAAAGTCGTTTAAGTGGCCGATGGGGACTTGTTGGTTGCAGGTCAGATAACGGAGACCGTCTACTGCAACTGTGCGCAGACCACCACCTGTTTCCGTCTAGCACTAACTACCGCACAGTCATCACCGATGTGCCATCTGGAGCCCTCTCTCTGCATCTCAGGCCTGGACTCAGATTGATCATATCGCGATCAGCTACCGCTGGCGTGGTTGTGTACAAGACTGCCGCTCCTTTTGCAGTACCTATTTGGACCCTGATCATGCACTTGTTTGCGCCAGTCTTACCTTGCTTTTCAGTGGCCAACAAATTCATCGTCCTAAACTGATTGATGTAAGTAAATTAGTTGCAGCTTCTGTTACAACTAAATATCAAACCGAGTCAGGTTCAAGACTAGCTAAAATCCCACTGAAAAGTATAGATGAGCATTGGTTGCAATTGCACGATGCCATGAAAATGGCGAGTAAAGTCGCATGCGGCTTCGCGAAACGTCTCGCTTATAAGCACTGGGTTTCTTCTGGCTCCTTACAACTCATTGAAACCCGTCGGTCTACTCCGGGTGACCGTGAGTTTGACCACAAACGAAAGATGTTACGTCATGAAATTGGGCAAAGCTTGCGTAAGGACCGAGAAGCCTGGTTGTCGGAGCGCACTAATGAGTTGGAAGCAGAAACCGCACCTGGTAACTGCCGGAAGCTCTTTCAACTCATCCGAGCCACTGGGAGCACGAAGTCTGGTGTGAGCGAAACAATCTGTGAAGATGACGGGATGTCGGTCACTAACGTAACATCAAATGACGTCTTGGACGATGGGCAGAGTTTTTCGAGGAGCAGTTCAACTGGTCTGCTGCCCCAGTAGCATCGATCACACTGTCCTGTCCTCCATGGCCCGTAACGTCTGATCCATCAAATGAGGCGGAAGTTCGCAAAGAACTCCAACCCTTGAAATGCTACAAATCACTAGATCCAGATGACTTACCTCCGGCCCTTTTTAAAGATGATGGTGACTTTCTAGTTAAGGAACTGTCTGAGTTTTTCACAGAGGTTTGGCAGTTAGACAGTGTACCAACGTCATGGAATGAGTCGATAATCGTCCTTGTCTTTAAAAAAGGTTCACATCATCTATGCAAGAACTATCGGGGGATAAGTCTACTTCCGATCGCGTCCAAACTTTTGGCTTCCGTCATTCTTGGTAGATTGTTCAAAACCCGAGAAAGATTGACTAGCAAGAAGCAGGCTGGTTTTCGTTCTGGTCGAGCATGTATTGATCATATATTCACCCTCCACCAAATGTTAGAACACCGTCATACTTATCACAGGCCAATAATCGTAGTGTTTCTTGACATAAGGTTTGCCTTCGATTCGTTGGACCGGATTGTTCTCTGGGATCGTCTATTGAAGAAGGGTGTGTCTGAGTAGTTTATTAACATCTTAAAAGCCCTATATACAAACACCTCAGGCAGAGTGAAGGCACATAATCACCTCTCTCCATTGTTCCATTCAATCAATGGGGCTAGGCAGGGTTGGCCAATCTCACCATTCATCTTCAACTTTGCTATCGACGACGTTCTGGGAACAGCTTTGATGTGTTGTGTGGATCTGTTGCCTGGAGAAAGACTTCTCGACCTTGAGTATGCGGATGATATTGTCCGTAGGTATGGTATGTGCTTTGCACCTTCTAAGTGGAAAGTACTTTTACAAGACTGGTAGGACCCTGATACTGCACTCACTCTGGGTAGTTAGCATATAGAAGTAGTCGAGAAGTTCGTGTATTTGGGTAGCCGCATAAGTGCTGGTGATGGCATGAGTGATGAGATCAATGCACGTATAGTTAAAGCCAGAGCGGCTTATGTCAATCTGGGCCATCTTTGGCGCCTTCCTGATGCTAGTCGGTGAGAGTGGTTTTGCTCTATGCTTGTGAAACTTGGCCTCCGAGTTGAGGATGCTAGACGACTCTCTGTGTTTAATCATCATTGTCTCCGAAGGATTGCTGACATCCAGTGGTAGCACCATGTTAGTAATGCAGAGGTTCGGCATCGTGTGTTCGGGAACAGAGACGATAATTCAATTGGTGTCACCATCTTGAAACATCGACTGCGGTGGCTTGGACATGTTCTACGAATGTCGTCCTAGAGAATTCCACGTCGTGCATTATTTGCCGACGCTGAGACTGGTTGGAAAGAGCGGAGAGGTGGTCAGTGTATGTTGTCGCGGTATGAAAGAAAGCGGTACAGGACTGGCTTCTATCAGTTCTTGATGACCCCCTGGTGGGGACTTAAAGATGGTGCAACACAGTGGATAGAGGCGTTATCAAATATGGCTCAGAATGGAAGCCAGTGGCGATCATGCTGTAACTTTATTTACTTCCTTCATAAAAAAATACGTAACTTCTTTAAGTGGCAGAATTCTCTGTGACTGTACTTTTACTGATTGAGCTGTCTCTCACATTATTATTATTATTATTTCACTCTCATGCACTAATTCCTATTCGTTATTGTCCCCCTTTTTCTTATACGCACCTTACATTCGTTATATCTTCATTCTCATTATTATTATTATGTGGCGCATATATATATGTATATATATTGTGCCTCTTTTTACCAATATTTATGTGTTCAGTCAATCTCACTGCCAGTACTGGACCTCCATCCTTATAAATCTTAGGGGTAAACCTGTCGGGGCCTGCTGTTCTCCCACGCTTCAGATTTCCTATAGCTTTTTAAACTTCGTAAAGAGTTGGAGAACTCGCCATTCAGGTCGACTGGAGATCTTGGGAAACTGAAATGCGGCTGAAGGCCAGTTGAACTGATCCCTAAAGTGTTCTGCCCATCGATCCAATCTCCTGGATTGAGAGTGAATAATATGTCCATCTTTTTCCAAGATAGTTTCGCTAACAGTTGGATTCTTAACACCGGTTTCCTTGACAAGTCTGAATAGTTGTCTGCTGTTGTCTATTGCCCACCACTGTTCGCGATCATTGCGTAGGCTTCTTATCAGCCTGCGCTTAAGCTGACTCCGCTCTTCGTCATGTTCAGAGCCAGATGGGACGAGTTTTCGAGCATCTATCAGTGCGGTGGATGCTGCTGAGATCCCGTGTTTCTCCCTAACCTTATGGTTTACCTTACTAGCAGATATCAGTGTTGTTCCCACAGCTTTCCGGATATCATTCCGCGCTGCCTCGGGACGGGCATTACTTACATGGCTGCCTAACTTTTCCTAGTTGTTCCTGAAAAAGACACCCAGGTGTCTTTCCTTTTCGCTTAGTTTACCTACTTGAGCATTAAAGTCACCAGCCACTATTACTGCATCGGAGCGCCTAACTTTTTGGAGGTCGGAAAGCTTTCTGTACAGCTCATCTTTTACATCATCTGAGCTGCAGTCAGTGGGAGAGTAGGCAGAGACAACGAGTGTCCTTACTTTTCCGAGTCCTAACTGTTCCGTTTAGTCGGACAGTGCATAAACGACTGTCTACTGAGATCCAATCTAAGAGAGCTAGTTCTACCCTAGGACTCAATGCTATACCTACGCCAGCGAGGCCACGGGAAGCAGCATCGGGGCTTCGAGATACATGAAGTGTGAATCGAGATGATTATTTTGATATGGTGAGGTCAAATGAACGACGCTACTCTGATTCTGTATAAGCGTTACGGAGACGTAGTACACATCGGTGGCGCGAGATTTAAAAATCCTAGCTAAGGAAGCCTGTTGTCCTATTTGGCACAGTGTTCGGACTTTAAAATCTCCTACATGTAGTTTAGAACGTAGTTTCAGAAGACTGAGAATAACGTTCCGCGTACTCGAATCGTTTTCACTAGCGGTGCGGGATGATAAAGTAACGTGAGAAGGGTTGGCGGTGGAGATGATAGAGTTATTAGGAGGTGTAGGAAGGATTTGATTGTGACCAACTTGACCTCGTCTACTGTTAGGGTATGAGGGCTCATATCACTTCCCGGCTGCCCACACCGTAGAAGGGTACTTCTTAAGGAACCACCTTAAAGGGAAGTTGGATTAGTGTTGGTCTTAACGACCTGGGAGCGTGACCACAGAGCCCAAGGGACAACTGCTTGAGGCCGGTCAATCACGGCCTTTTTGTGGGAAGTTTTTAGCGTGTTAGCTCCATTCTT